AAGATCCCGGAGCTCTCGCAGGAAGATCACGCGAAGTTTCGCGATCGTTTTGTGCGGGTTCACCCGGATGTGATCTTGATCGACGCCAAGGAACCACACAAGAAGTTCGTAGAGCGCCTTTCGCGGGACTTTCTCATCCACGGCATAGTCCCCTTCTACGAGCCGGCCGAGATCAGGACTCGAGCGGACGTGATCGTGGTGAAGTCTGGGCTCTCTCGGAATGCAGAGGACCTGCTGTCGATATCGAGAGCTGATCAGCCCGAACCGGTGACTGATGTCACCACGCTGTTCAACAGGCTCCACGCTTTCTTTATGTCGCTCGAGTACCTGAACATCTGTGCGTTCTCACGCACGGAGGGCCCACTCAAGTACCTGCAAGAGCTCGAGCAATTCCGCTCGGAATGCCCTGGTTTGCCTTTTGGCGGCTGATCGGGCAATACGGAAGAAGATTTTCCGCCTCCTTTCGGAGCAGAGGGCAACATATACTGCCTTCTCCCAAGCCTTGCTCGAGGTGCTCAACAACCACAAGTACTTGTGGAATGACGCGAGGACCAGCGTCACGCTGTCTAAGGTCGAGCACAATCGCCAGCAGCTCATCTCCAACCCTGATCAGGTCCAAGAAGAAGGGGGTCTCCCTCCGGTTCCGCATAACCCCTTCAAGCGCACGCGCGGGGGCAAGAAGAAGAAGCGATTGCAGACAGCGGGAAAGGAGGAGACGCCCAAGAAGGTCGCCAAGGAGGACCCGAATAAGAAACCAAAGCGGGACGATCGAATTCCCGAGAAGGAGTGGAAATTGATTGCCGATGCAGCGAAAAAGGTTCAAGGCGCTCGCCGGTGCCACTACTTCAATTCGCTCGGCTGCATCTCAGGGGATAATTGCCGGTTCAAGCACCTGTGCATGGTCTGCGGGGAGCCGCATGCCATGATCGGCAACCACTGAGTTGTCCCTTCAGAAACTGACTGTCGTCCCTACCTCGCGCTCTCGGGTGCGATGAGTGGCGTGGACGTGGAGGCGATTGCCCAAGGGCTTGTGGCCAGGTGAGCGCAGGGCTTATGTTCCAGGAGAGCTGGTGTACTTCTGGTCGCCCAAGGGGAACAAGGGCCGTTACCGCAAGGATGTTGGATGTTGGCGTGGACCGGGCGTTGTCTTGGTGCCTGATGGACACGAACGCTACTTTGTGTCCTGGCGGGCGCGCTTCTTACTCTTGGCCTCGGCAAACCTCAAAGGAGCTGGTCAGGAGACAGCGGCAGACCAGCAGCCAGCTTCGGTGGAAGGAGATGCAGGCGGAGATGGAGAAAGGACTCATCGATCTGGCAGATGAGCCAGAGCCTCCTGCTGATATCGAGGCTGACTTTGCTCCTCAAGGTTCTGGCCACAAGCCGAGGAGAGCCGTAACCGGAACAGGCCGCAAGATGACCGAGGCTCGCAAAATGATGCAAGGGCTCAAGTCGGTCAAGCGTACTTTTGGTCTTCCCTTTCGCAAGGACAAAGCCCGCCGTCTTCTTGGAAAGCGTGCTCAGCGAGAACCGCCCCAAGGAGCCGGCCCACCTCCTCGCGATGATTCAGAACAACCAGAACAACCTCTTTCACTGGGGGCGTCCGAGCGTGAAGACCAGAGTGTAGTAGATGATTTGCTTCATCGAGATGAAGCAGAACAACCAGAACAACCTCTTCCACTGGGGCCTCGTGTCGATGATGTTCAAGACCAGAGTCGTGAAGCTCCACCGGGTCATCTTCAAGATCTATGGGATCAAGCTCCACCAGCTGCGCGTGATCCTGCCTATGATTACTTAGATGACGTGCCGTTCTGCCTCAAGAGGAAGCTGAACCCAGGTGGTGCTGGCGAAGCGTCCCAGGAAGTCTCCACAAAGCGTTTGCGTACCAACGACATGGTCAACTTCGTCTTGACCTCGGTGAGTGGGATTGAGCTTGGTGTCTTGTCGCCGGAGGCTGCCTTGAACAACGAGTGGCTCAAGAAAGGCGAGGTCCAGCAGTTGAGCGAGCTTCTCGACATCCCTTTGACGTCTGCTCGCTTACACCGAGCTCCAAGGAAGCATCTTCAAAGGCCTGGTCCTAGAGGGAAGGAAGGGGCGCATCACCCTGATGATTGGGCAGGACCCGCAGCAGGTTTTGATTGCGGAGGAAAAGCCAGAAGATGTGTTCGCCGAGGAGACCTGAAGAGGGCCCGCCGAGTTCTCCTTCAGAGCAAGGCCACCGAGTCTGTCTTTGTGGCAAAGGACGGCGAGCCCTACGACGAGGTGAAGGTGCCGAACCAAGAAGTTGTCCACGCTGCCTGGCCTTTGCCGATGTTCGGGACAACATCCTCAGCAGCCACGCCTTTCTCCTGAAGATGAAGGCCAATGGCAAGGAGCTCGACCCACGGTTCTTTGACGAGACGGAGCGCCGGGCCTTTGACAAGTCTGATCAGAAGGAGTGGCAGGCCTGGCTCGACAACCATGTCATCGAGCAGTTGGGGCCTGATGCTGCGAGAAAGGTTCCTCAGGCACGGATTTTCAAAGTCCCGGCCCGGGTGGTGAGAACGAACAAGGCTGCAGCTGGATGCAAGGACTTACTTGCGAAGTCCCGCCTCGTGCTCCCCGGTCATATGGACCCAGACGTGTTGCAAGGTGGTCTCAGGACAGACAGCTCGACGATCGCCGTGACTGCACTCCGCATGGCCATGAGTGTGGCTCTCCAGCGTCGTTGGCGATGTCCAGGAAAGAGCGTGGCTCGAGACCTCTGCTCTACTGCCGTCCCCCTCGAGACCTGTCTGGAATGGGAGCTGTGGTCCTGTGGCGCATTCTTAAGAGTGCCTATGGACCGGCGGAAGCGCCGAGGCTATGGTACATGCAGGCCAAGGACCTCTTGACGAAGTGCGGCTTCATCGAGGTGCCCTTTGCTCCCGCCACGTTCGTGAAGCTCCGGACTGAAAAGGGGCAGGCGATTACGGTGGCCATCCTCTGTCTGTGTGTGGACGATGGCTTCCTTGCCGTTGAGGATGGCAGAGAGGCTTTGGAAACCCAGAAGGTCATCGACAACCGCTTCTCCATCAAGGAGTGGATTGAGATCAACGAGAAGCCTGTGACCTACCTGGGGATGAAGATTTCCATCAAGCAGGGCATGTTCGTGAACGACATGACTTCAGGAGGTGGACGTGCTTGGTCTCAAAGAGTTCCGCCGGCTGATTGCTCGAATCCGCTGGTCCACTGGCCTGTCCACCTCGTGCTCCCCGAGCTCTTGTGCCAGGTGAGCCTGCTGGCTCAAAAGGTGAGCCATGCCACGTGGAACGATCTGAAAGAGGCGAACAAGCTGTTGTCCTCTTGGCCACGGCTGGAAAAGCTAAGCTTCTTGTGCGGCATCTCTCTGGTGCTCCTGCCTTGGTGACCTACTTCGACGCCAGCCTGGGCAGCTCCGAGGACTTGGCCGCACAAAGAGGAGAGGTTCATTTCTTGGTGGAGCCCGACGTCCTGAAGAAGGCAAAGGCAACCTCCTCGAGTTCCACAGCAACAAGATCAGCAGAGTGGTTCGGAGCAGTATGGCCGCCGAGTGCTGTTCTATGTCATCCAGCGCGGACCGCTTGGTGTGCAACATGAAGTTGTGGGACGCACTGCACTACGGAGCACTCGTCACATCTTCGACGTGGCGGTGCGAGATCAAGACGCAGGGCCACCTTGTCACCGATGCGCGGAGCCTCTTCGACCACGTACACGGCTCAAATCAGCTGCCTGCAGAGAGACAGACCAGCCTCGACATCTCTGGCATCCGCCAGATGGTCCAGGAACAGCTAGTGGCTCTACATTGGGTACCAACGTGGCGCCAATACGCTGACTGTCTGACTAAAGCGATAGAAGATGTTCTTTACCAGTGCTTCAAGCAGCACGGCAGGCTCAACGTAAAGCAGTCTCGCGAGGATGCCAGGGAGGAAGAACGTCGCGCACTTCTCCGCAGGGCACAGCGCGAGAGGCGTAGGATTAGGATCAAAGCAGCTGATAAGTCAACACATTTTGTTTCCGATGTGAAGAACACAGTTGCATGAGCATGAGCCCGCAGCTTTCTTGAGAGCCTGAACGAGCCTGTGGAATCCGGCCCGCAGCTCAAACTGAAGCGACGTCACTTACAGCCTTTTGCTGCTTGCGCGAAAAGTGCATGCTTGCGTGCGTGCCTCTGCTTGCTGGTTCTTTCTGCAGGTTGCTTAGTTCAATCCATACAAAGACAGAGGCAGACAGCTCGATATCCTTTTCATTCCTCCGGGGAAGCAGAAAACAGGTAGTATACCAACCAAGCCTCCCAAGCAAAGGATGCCGGCCTAGGAAGGGGGACTGCCCTAATATGTCGGCTGTCATGTGCTGCATCTTTCTATGCTGTCTGTTTTGTTGGCCGGGGGCTCAGCTGTAGAGGGTCCACAAAGGTCTCAAATAGCACCTTACTGCGTTGGACGTGTTTGTTGCGAGAGGGGACCCTCGAGCTTAGTGCAGGAGCTGAGCAGTTGCAGTCGATGGCATAGCGGGGGACAGGGTTTGTCATGTGCAGTTGCTGCTGATCTCACGTTTGCACTTCCTTGTTTGAGGGGGGCCGATATGCCATCTTGAAGGCTGTACAGCCGAACTCACGGGGGATGATCCCCTGTCGAGGTGTCTAAAAACCTGCCAGGACATGCAGGTGCGCGTTCGCATGCGGGGGGAAGGGCTTGACCTGCCCCGACCCCCAAGCCTGGTAGAGAGAGAGAGAGAGAGAGAGATGGAGTAGCCATTTTCGCTCAAGTGCTGCACCTTTGCTCGGGGGTCTGTGACACCCCTTTGCATCGGGAGGGGAGGTGGCTGGTTGACTGGGGGCGTACCCCCCGGGGAGCCAGTCCACTTTTCCTCAGCGGTGCTTGAGCCGCACGCCGCCACATCTTTCCTCAAGTGGCCCATCTGTGTAGAGCCTCGTCTTGCAGCGATTGACGTGTACGGCAAGGTCGTTGTTCAACGTGCCCTCCTCTTCGAGGTTGTCCTCGACGACCTAGGTGGCTTCACTCCAGGAGGGCAACATCCGTGAAACTGGAGCTCTACACGGGGACTACCCCGAGACGATCCACCTCGTGCGCTTCACTGGGTGAAGGGTTACGTGTATGTAAAGGGCGTGACTTGGCAAGGACACCGAGAATAATATCCACACCTACAGTGCAGAGCGGGGGTAGCCCGCGTCAAGGCCCAGACGACGCTGCTGGGTTTGAGCGGCCAAAGAAAGTCAAGAAAGGTGCAAAGGACCGAGACCGTCACAGAGGTGACCACCCCTTGGGTGAGTTCTGAGCAGGGGAAGTGAGCGCTTAGCAAAGGTTTTCCGTCTTCTGGGAGTAAACCCAGTTTCCTAGAGCCGAGCTCTTCAAGCACAAAATTTTGTTGCTTTCAGGCCACGCATGTGTAACCCACTCTTTTCCACTGAACGTACTCTCTCCACTCGCTTTTCCGTTGGAACACGGGGGAACACCCCTTGGAAACCTTTTCCTTGTACCATAAGACGGGCCGCAGGAGCCATCCATTTGCCTTTATGCCGTGCCTCCGCTCGAGGCTCCCTAATTAGCCAGCCACGTGCCCATCAGAGATGCCCATTTCCTGGTCGTTGAGTGCTGTTTAGATTGTTTGTTTGTTTGCCGAGCAATCATGTGGAGAAGGGCACTTTTGGAGACTACGCAAGGCCTAGAAGTTCCGCCATTCGATCGCAGTGAGTGTTTGCTTAGTGGGGCATTGTTCGGGGCTGTTCCCTTGGTGTTGAACCAATGGCGAAACTTGCCCTGTTTGTGTGTGCAGCCTTCCCAAACTGCCCTCCGCAACTGTCGGGGGCGCCGACGGCGCGCGGGTAGGGGGGGCAACCCTCCTGCTCATAACCCTGCCGAAAGAGAGAGATGGAGAGACACGGACACAGACACAGGCACGGACACACAAACATGTGCACGGACACACCGAAAGACTGAGAGAATCGGCGGACATTTCACACATGCAAACACGTCGTGGACATGTGCATGAGTACTCACGTGGTGCTACTTCTGAGGCAATAAGGGATTACAACGAACGGCTTTTTTGTCTGGAACAGCATGACGCACAAAGGATCCAGATGCTAGTCGTCGGCAGCTGTTGAAGCATCCACATATTTTGCAATGCATGCGCAGTTCCGAAGGTCGATGATTTCAACACACCGGGACCTGCTGAGGCCTCTTGCATGGCAGGTGCGATGCGGGGCAGTGACGCACATCGTCATGCTCCGTGAGTGAAGCGTCCATTCTCCATGCTCTTGCGGCATATCTGAAGATTCCTTTCAGTTGAGATGCGTTGCAGGCGTGGTGCCGCTTGAGATGGCTCCTGCCTCCTCGCTGGCCAATGTGCGCCTTGCTACGTCCTCGTTCTTCCAAATGATCATGGAGCAAAATTGGTTGCAGGCCGCAGCATGGAGGCAGGAGGAGGTGCTGGAAGACGAGGCAAGACCTTCAGCCACGTTCTTAACGGTGCTTTGTGCGCAAAAAAGTGGCAGGCCGAGAATACGCGACAGGACGATGCCAGACCAGACTGGTACGCTGCTGTCTTCATAGAGAGATGGCGGAAACATGGGTTGTGCACGGTTGCATTCAGTTTAAGTAATGAAATAAGTGAGCACTTGGAAACACGTGAGCACTTGAGCAGGTCCGTCATCGATGTCAAAGACCTAGACAAGCCCCTGGAGAGGGAAGACGAAGACGAAGAGGCCTCCACGATTTGCTTTCAATTGAGCTCATGGCCCAACCTGCGAGGAAATAGCGGAGTTTGAAAACGCCAGGGATGTCAAGGCACGGGTGATGCGTGTGGAGTCTTGCTGGGAACCATGGCGTTAAGGACGGATGGTTCGAAGCGCCGGCGCCAGACGAACCATCTTCAGGCTGATGCTGATGACAAGCAAACCCCGAAGTCGGATTAGACGATGGATTCGTGTAGCTGCAGCGAATAAGATTCAGCGCGGTGCCACGGCTTTGTCCTTCCTGGCAATAGAACCTTGCTACGAGTATGCCGATGAATCGAAGCACCGTTGCTCGGGATCCGATGGTGCGGGTCCAGGAAATAAGTTGAAAGAAGCGAGGTTTTGAGATCAGTGTTTCAATCACCAGACGGCCAAGTTTCCGTGGTTGTGCCAGCACCAGACCGTCACACGGCCAGGCCATGCGATCTTCATCGAACGAGACGAGGAGCACTGGTGAATCTGGTGAGTTACCGCCTCTTTGGTTCGTGTTCTGCTGTGACAATATGAAGGATCATGTCCCGGAACACATGGCTCTGCGAGAGAAGGATCTCACCAGGCATGAAGCAGTCGCGATCAACAGCTTGGAGTGCTGTCCCATCCTGCAGTTTGTGGGCTGATCAGAACGATTTGGACGAGGAGGCCTCGTTGGGGTGAATGGAGTGTGTCCACATAAACTGTGGTTCGTGTGGCAGAGGACGCTGCGGCAGAGGAAGTTGGGGTGGCCTTCTCAGAAGTACTTAGTGAAGCTCACTCCCAATGATTCCGTGTTCTGGGTCTACGTGTCCTTCTGGTCAGCTCATATCAGCTCTAGATTTCTAGATGAAGGTTGGACGCAGAAGGAAGGTCCAACCATGAACCATTCGTGGAGCAGCCGTCTCCGGGCTGAGAGGATCTCTATAGGTTTTCGTCCCAATGTCCAGGCTTTGGGGTCGCCAGAATAGACAATGACCCTGCACTGGACCACGAGGCCATCCTCTCAACCAGTGCACTCTGAGCAGAACGGATCTCGAAGACGGCAGCGTAAGTTTCGGTAAGCAGTGGAACTCATTCACAAAGGCTACGGCCGTATCGGACATGGCACAGAATCCACTAGCAGAGTATTGAAGAGGTTCAATGCATATTCGGCGGCAGTGCAGTTCAGACCGGGGTCTGTGCACCACAGGCGCCACACTGTGCTGATGTCCGCTCAGCAATCATGCAGCAGTCACGGGCCACGGGGAAAATCGTCAGAAGGCAGTTGATAAGGCCAGATGATACGTGTGCTGCAAATGCAAGCTTGATGCACACTATCGGTCATTCCAACTGTGTCTCACGAAGTTGCAAAAAATGCAGGGCCTGTGTACGCAACCTGAACTACGTTCGAACCGCGCGTTGTGCCGCAGCCAACGGTCTGAGAGCCCAACCGGAAAGCTTGTTTTGCTGGCAGGTGCAGCATTTTCGAAGGTTTAGAGCAGCAGAAACGTCAAATTTTCGAGGTGGTTACGTTGTTTATCATAGCCACCCCGGCTCTTAGCCTTGGAAGGCTCTTGCCGTGGCCTGAAGTCGATTCGCATGGCAGGCGTGCTACTTCATGCACATTGCAGGAGTTTGCGTATGGGGTAGGCAAACCCTAATTTTAGCGTTTTTTGCGCACTATGAACTCGTGTGCGTTTTGGGGCAGGTTCAGAGAGTCGACCAAGGCTCTGTGTCGAGGAGCTGTTCAAAAGGATCAGCACCAAGCCTATGCAAATGATAAGCTTGAAAGGTGCGAAAGGCTTGCAAAAGGCTATTGAGTCCAGGCTTATGGACGGAGTTTGTCTAGACGTTATCATGGTTGGCACATGGATGCTCTGCTGGAACGAACGGAGTTTGTCTGGACGTCATCATGGTTGGCACATGGATGCTGTGTGGGAACGGACGGAGTTTGTCTGGATGTTATCATGGTTGGCACATGATGTGCCAATCATGATAACGTCCAGACACACTCCGTCTGTTGCCACAAAGCATCCATGTGCATGACATGGATGCGCTGGCCTGAGAGGCCCTGGCACCTGAATGGGGTCGGAGTGCGGCGTAACGTCTGGTTCGAGGGCTGAACTACACCAGTCGGTTTTGAGTGCAAGTAGACGGCAGAAAAATCTACAGTGTTGATGGGAACTTGATGGTCATGGGGTTCTAGCACGGCTACTTTGACTGAGCACTGCCTGTGGAGCTGCGCCTCCTCCGTGTACCCTGCACTCCCCTCCAGTTTGGCCTCCTCATGCAGCCCTACGAAAGAGTTCGAAGATTGCGCATCATCAAACACGGTTTGCACAACATTTCAACGTTAAGATTCTGTGAAAGCCTTGACATGTTCCGTGTTTTTGCTGCTTCAAGTACCATGGAACAGTCGAACTGAGCTACAAATGTATCATCGAGTTTGCCATGACAGCTGCACCAGCTTGTAAAGCCTGAGAGCGTTGCAGTCATACTTGGCAGTTCGCATTCTTTGCTTTTGCCGAGAAGGTAGACTCCGTGCTTTGATAGCCGGCACTTGCCTATTTTGCAACATCGTCGACAGGTCGAGCATTTCTCACAGATCTCGACGCTTTACAAGTAATAAGTTATAAGTTATGAGTTCCCGGAATTGGAGACAAGAAGGAACTAGACATGTTTGAAGTGTCATGGAGCAAGCGAACTGAGCTACAGAGGCATCTGCGAGTTTGTTATGACAGTGCACCGGCTTTTAAAGCCTGTTAGCTGCGCAATCATTGCAATCATATTGGCATTGCTTCTGCGGGAAAGTAAGCCTTGCCATGAATTCCTGCTTTGATAGTTGGCATGATTGTATTACATAGCAAAGAGGTCGAGTTCGATCTATTGAATCTGTTGATAATTATGATGTTGCGTGCTACATGTAGTGTGGCAGGCAACATCGCAGATAAACGGAGTTCTCGCTATGTGGATGTGTGAGGGTACTTGCAAGAAGGCGATTCGGTTCATCTAAGGCCCTTGACGTCAACGTGCCGAGAACCGCACTGGTCGCAACACCCGCACGAGTCTCTGGGTGTTTTTTGTTTGCTTCCTGATTGGGAAGGTGATCAACATATCCTACGTCCTGAAGCGCCTCAATGGCTGCTGTAGCTTGAACCAGTTGGCAAAAGCCCTGAAGTCTTTCAAGGCCCCACAGACAGTTGCGGCGGCTTTCTCGTGTGCCCTCAAAACTGCGGAGGAGAAGACTGGCATGTCGTTGGAGGTTTTCCTGCGGTCAAATCCAAGAACCTTCAAGCTTGAGGCCAGTTGAGATCCTGCAAGGCCAAGTCCCAAGTGTTTCTTCGAATGCAGGGCCGGATCGTGTACCTCTTAGACCGGGACGGGGAGAAGTGGCAGCCTCCAAAGCAGGCACGGTGTGACATCTTGGAGCGCTCGGAGCTTGCCTAAGATGTTCGAAGGAACCTGCTGCTGGCCCAGGGCTCGGGAAACGTGTGAAAGAGCGCGTTCTGAAGCTGCGGGCACGTAGGTGGCAACGATGCTGGCCAGCACCTGATGTTGGTTCGAGCCAACAGACAGCTTAAGTTGCAATAAGCACCCGAGGCCACCCAGAAAGATCCAAGGGTCAAGCTAAGGGCAAAGAGGCCGGATGTCCGTTCTGCAGATGCAGTATGACAGAAGAATGCTGAACAAGCAACAGGCCAAGGGCCGTGGTGGAGGAGCGACAAAAAGCTTCTCTCTCTCTCTCTCTCTCCTTTACGCATTTTTTTCATAGAGAAAGCTGGCAGGCGAAGGTCGACGTGGCAAAGCCACGATGAAAGGCGCGCGCGCGCTCGCGCTCAGAGAGCCGTCGGGGAGGGAGGGGGAGCGCCATGTTGGACCGGGAGGAGACCTGCCACTGGCGAAAGGTGAAACAGGAGACCCATCACTGGCAAACAGCTGGGTTTTCCTCCCTGACCTGCCTCAGGAAAAGGCAAGGCAAGCAAAGGCGCCTGGATGTTCTGTTGTTCTGTCCCCAACAGCCACATAAGATGCTGGGCCGATCCAGGCCATGGTCACGAGTGGTCAGAGTGGTCCTGGAACTCCAATGGCCAATGCCTCAGAGTTCTACCTTGCGAGTGAGGCCTTCCTCACCGTCGCCTTGTGTCCAAAGGTCACTGGGCCCCAGCCTGGGACGAATGGACGCAGCCGCAGCCGGAGTGGAAGGCGCTGCAAAGGAAGGTGCGCTCCTCCGGTGCCTGGGGGAGCTGCGGAGTGCAGAGTTCACGCGGCATCTTGCGACTCAAGTCGAAGGCCAGTCGCTGGAAGGCATCCTAGCGAGCCTCGGGCTTGGTGGCGGAGAGGCCCAGCGAGGTTAGCATTGCGACAAAGTTTCGTGATCTGTCCAAGGAATTTTTGTAAGCAGTGAGGGTGCCCTCAGCGACATTTCCTGTGCATACTGCATGTAGCAAAGGAGCTGCATGCCTCCAATGAGTCTCCAGTGCATGTGTATATTTCGGTCCTTTCAGAGACCTCTGTGAAAAGTCTGCAATGACTACTGTCGCTGCATCAGAACCACTTGCGAGTTAGTTTGTTGTAGGCGATTTTGACACGTCTGGCCGCATTGTCCTGAAGCTATTTCCCCATATTTTCATAACTTGCTCTTCGAAATTCTTGTGTAGCTATTGCAGGGACACGAACTTTTAGCCGATGCTGTGTCAGAGTGTGCTTGACGCAGTTTGCAAAAGCGCGTTCCGCACTCGCTTCGGACGATTCAGTTCAGTGCATGACAGGACAGCCCGTGACAGAAGTGCGTTTCGATCCGCAGACGTTTGCAAATGGATCACGGCGCCCGGCCGACGGTGCTGCAAGGGATGCTCGTTCTATGCGCTCGGCCTGGGCCCTGACCATCATCCGGCCGTGGCCGAGCACAACTTTGCTGCAGGCCTGAACCATGCAGGGCACGTGCGCAAATTGTGGGCGCCAGGCCTGTGGCGCGTCGTGTTGTCTCTATACATCTCTATGCATGTCATTCATGCCGAAAGAGTGTAGCCCGTGGGCAATAAGTTGTGACAGGCAGAGTCGAGGTGCTCAACATGCAAAGCCCGAAGCTCATTTTGATTGTACAGGATTCTAGGGACCTACGTCGGAATCAAAGTCGCGATGGAGATCTTCTTGGCTTTCAATGCATCTTTTCAGCACATCTGGCTCAATGTAGCTTTCGCTTCTTCCGTCCCTTCAGATGCTCCTGCCATGGAAGTGGGTGAGAAACACAATCTCTCAAAGTCGAAATGTGTTTATGCTGGCTTTCTACGGGTCGTCTTCCCAGAAATGTATTCACTTTAGACTGAGCTTATGTTGCTCGCAAATCACAGCAGCCTTGCAGATGTGGCATCGTGGGAATGCTTGCTGTGTATGGCATCCTGCAGGACGGTGCTGTGACTGTGGTAGGGTCGAGAGGTGCTGCAAATTTTGTCTGACGACAGTGGCGATGCAGGAGCGAATCATGACGGTTCGCTATGACGACGAGATGCCTCCTGCGCAGAGTTCAGTGGTGCGGATGCGCAAATCGAGATTGTGAGATTCAGTTGAGAGCTGTATGGTCTGTGTCGAGGTTTCGTCACTCAGTCTTTCTTGTCTTGTGCAACCGATTGGTGGCGGTTTTGTTTGCCGCCGTCCTGGCCAGCATGCACAAGGACGTTGACACATGCTGAGATCGGACGCACTTGTGCCGTAAACACTTGCAGGAGAGCCTTGCCAACAATGCTCCACTGCGTTTATATTTGAAGCTTGGGCACCGCATGTGCTTAAACTTTTCTGCGCCAGCAGACTGGACGTGCATGCTGCATGTGCGCGTCATCGAGGATCGTTTCCCTGAGCAACGTTATTGCCAGCACTTGCCAGTATGAAGCCCTCAAGCACGTGTCTTTCGTGGTCCAGCTGCGTGACGGCACCAGGATGGCGAGAGTTTATGAGGTTGTTCGGCTATGTCTCGGTCCTCTGTGGCTGAGGATGCTGGGAAAGTCTTTCAAGACAATCCCGGTAATGATGTGGGGAATGGTGGTGAGTGGCAAGAGGCGACTTGGCGACGCCAGCTGAATGCTCAAGGAGCTCTATCGATCTAAACAAGGTATCCTAGTGTCCTAGTGCGTGTTCTGTGAGGTACAGCTTGACCGACTGGCTCCTTGCCGCCGTTGTCACGGCTGGCATTACCATCTTCTTGATCTCTGGACCGCATCGGGCGCCGGGCGAGGCGGGGAGTCTTGGCGCTGAAAGCGAAGCAAAGCGCGTTGCTCCGATGCGCCTCTCTCGTTCTGCTTTGTCCGCTTTCTTCCCGTTTATCCTCTCTTTCGTGGAGGGCACCGGCTGCAGCACTCTGGCTGGCCTGGCGCTGCTCTCGGGCTTCTTGGCCTTGGATGGTCTGACCTCCGTCATGGAGGAGAAGCTCTTCAAGGAGAGGACAGAGAGAGTCACTATGAGAAGTCGCACTGGCATGAAGGGTCTTGGAAGGATTACGAGACTTCCAAGTGGAACCAGATCTTGTATGTGAATTTGCTCTCCTCCACGACTTCAGCTGCTGCGCTGGTGCTGGCCCTCAGCTCCTCAGATCCCTCTTCCATCCCATCCCATCTGTGGCTTCGGCGAAGCGACCACGACCGCAGGTCGTTTCCGGTGAGTTCATGCCCGCCCTCAGCTTCTCGCGGCATGCGGTGCTTCGGCTTTCAGCCATCTGTTGCAACACGGGGTTTTAGGAGTCGATCTGGTCTGTGGCTGCGTGACAAAATGGGGTCAAGACTGTCTTCACCCGAAGAACAACACATGGCTGCCTGCTCGTGAGGCTGCATGCTCAACTAAAACGAAACTGCCTTCTTGGGGATTCCAGTCCGAATTATTCAGGCAATGCCACGCCGATTTAAGACATGCTGCTAAGACCGAAGTTTTCATCAAGAGATCTTGCAGGGGCAAAGGAGAAGGGGAATGTTCTGAAATGTTCACCTCTGCTTCAGGCAGTGATTGACTTCGCCTTTGTCAAACTTGCTTTCACACGACAGGGCAGGCCCCGTAGCCAAAGGCTGCCGGGTACAATTGTAAACCTGAACATACAGGTAACAAGTAATGCAAACGGAGTGAATAGTGAATAGTACTTTAGCCTGTTCTTGTAGTGTGCTCACCAGCAATTGAAATTGTCCTCGACTTTCCATGGCCGAGGAAGAGCCCCAGCCAGACCCTGAGCAGTACGCTGAATTTGTGAAATGGCACGAAGCATTCAACAAGGCTACGGCCAAGGACACTGTCAGGATCAAACCAGAGCAGCCCCAAGAAGGCGAAGATGGACGATGAATTGCTTTAAGCTCCGCCCCAAGGTGCCGGATCAGGATTTCGGCGAACCGAATTGAACTTGAAGTTTGAAGATCGTAAGGAGGGAGGGAAGGACATGGGAGGGGCGGGGAGGAGAGGGTTTTCCCTCCCCCCTCCTCCCCTCCCCTCCCTGCCCTTTTCCCTCCCCTCCCCTCTCCCTCCATGCCTCTCACAAACGTTATTCAGCCACTGTTTTCCCTGATTGGCAATCTCACCAAAAGGATTTTGGTTAAAATGTTGCAGTTTGTCCAGACTCCAGACCTAGCAAAGCTGCGCAGCAAAGCACAGGAAAGCAGATTTAGCTGGTTCGTGCATTCAGAAGCCGAAGTGCCCTTCGAGATGTACGCTGCGAGCCCGTGATTGAAACCCGCAAAAAAGGGCTATCAGCGGTCGCGTGTCTTTGAACTTTGCCGCGCTTTTGGCATCATTCCGTCATTTGCGGTCTCATGGGTGAGATGTATGTATGTATGTGTGTGTGTGTGCGTGTGTGTGTGTGTCACAGGGGGCTGACGTTTTGCTGGACAAGCTGAGCCCAATTTGTTCTAATGTGAAGGTTAGTGGAAGTACTCGGCCCTTTCCTGTTCTGAGGCATTCCTCAGAGATGCTTCTTTTCTCAGCTTGTCAGCGGTGGCGGCACAATACTTTATTTATTCGCAAATCCGCGAATTCGGTGCTGTGGTCTTTGCGCTGACCATGAATATCCGTCAGGCCGGATGGGTGGAAGGATATTGCTTGTCTAGTCCTGTCAGTGTGCAGGGTTCTGTTGTCTGAGGTGGTGTCCATCGCCTTGTTTTGAGCTCAGTTCGGAAGCTTCTGCATTAAGTTGTCTGGAGGGTGCTGCAGGTCACAGTCTGGGAACGTCGAGCACACACACACACTCTCTCTCTCTCTCTCTCTCTCTCTCTCTCTCTCTCTCTCTGCTCTCTCTGTTCTGGCATCGTCGTGCAGATGTATGCCAAAACGGAGGGATGTGTTTAAGGATTTTGAGATCTGTACATGCATATAATCTATGTTCTCATACGCTGACTAGATCTCCAAAACTCCGACGGCAACATGTGTGTCGCTTTCCCTTGGAAGTGACGACGTGGACAATAATTTGAACGAACAGGCTTCCTCATATTCTCTACTGGTGCACGCACTTGTGACATGCTGTCTGAGCAGTAGATCCTGGAGCGTTCAGTGAGTTGCAGTTGTGGGATTTTGATGAGCGGTTTCGTCTTACTAGCTCTCTCTACTACTGCTCTACTACTACTACTACGACGACG